CCAGTATTCCCAAAAAGCGCGTGCAAGTACAATGATGACAATCAGAGAGGTTAAAAAGCTCACGCCCCTTGCCGATATTAAAAGAATGACGCCTTGCAACAAGGGAATAAAAAATAAAATTTTAGCCCAATTTTGATAGGGGTAAGGGCCTAACAAAATTGTCGTTGCAAAGACCAAGTCCAAGGAAATCGAAAAAATAATCCACGGCTTAATCAAAGCGTATCCACCATCCGGATAATCTTTGTCAATCGGTAGATGACGAAAAATACGAACTCGCCATAACATGATCCAAAAAAGTACTGCTAAGGCTAAATACAACACCCACAAATTTTTGACTTCTGGGTCAAGTGGGGGAGCCAAGTGATAAATGTAGTTATAGTTAACAAATTGATAAGCAATCAATGCTAATAGCAAGCGTAAGCTAGCGAAGATTCGCAAATAGCGTCGCCAAAATTGATAGCGTACCGTCTGGTTGGTTACTTCGAGGAAAAACGGGTTGGTCACGAAATCTTACCCATCAATAGCATTAAGACTGCAGGTCGGCATGTTCTACACAACAAAATTGAAGTTGATGGCGGGTAATAGCATCACCAATAGGGATATGCAAACCACAATGAGCACATGACACCATACTTTGGAGCTTTTCGCCACTAGATTTAGCACGAATCTCTGGCATTTTTTCTGGATCTAGAAGTAAGTTATTGACAATTTTTTTGCCGATCAAACCAATGGCAAGGAGCCCTAAAGCTCGAAGAATGAATGCGCCCATTTTAAACTCTCTTTCATAATTAACGTTTTAGGATGACCTCTAACACGAAATGGCTACCGATATAGGCCAATAATAAACAGATAAACGCTGTGACACACAAAGCTAGGCTTTGTTGTTCAGACAGACCTTTGCGTTTTCGCAACCATAAAATCCCTGCCAAAACAACGGCTGCAATCACAGAAAATAAGAACTTGTGGTTTAGTTTAAACCAGAGGCCATGAGTCATTTTAAGGTATAACGTACCACTGGCAATAGCGATAGACAAACCTATTAATGCCCACCAAATATGTCGGTATAACATAGACTCCAAAGACCACAATGGAGGTTGAACGTCTAACCAACGGGAAACAAAGTTGGAATCATGATCATTGAGTTGCGTGATGATGGAACGTTGGTGCAATTGTCGGCTAATCAAATAAACTGCAATGGCTTCAAACATGACGATAAAAACAAAACTGTGGGCGATAATGGCTGAAACAAAGTGTATTTGAAATAATGGGTTAGAGGAAGTGGTCAGTCGTTGTCCAGGAAATAACGCAATCCAACCAAAGGTGATGGCAGCGATAGGAAAAATAAAAATAGCCCAACCAAGATCGGGACGGGAGTGTGTTTCAAATGCATAAATGAAAATAGCGAGCCAGACCATAACCGATAAAGCAGTGGCAAAGCCAAAACGCAGTCCACTAGATTCGTATGAACTTTGGGCCAACGTTAGCTCGGCAAGATTGGATAATTGCCCGGATCCGTCAAACTGATGGATCATACTGGTTTCGTTAGGCATGACACTTAATTGGATAATCATAAGTGCGTGGCAGCACAAGGTTATGCCCAGTAACCAACGCGCAGGTGGGCTTGATAAAGCGGCACGGGCGTGTTTTAGCTTGCCACGTTGATAGGTCATGACATCGCGATAGGCAAAAAAACTAAGCCACACATATAATAGGAGGGTAGCAATAAAAATTGTCGTTATCATGGGTAAAGTTTACCATTTTTCTGGTAAATATTTCAGGTGTTGCCAGTCATCTCATTCTGCCTCAATGAAGGGGGCTGTGATGAAGATCAATTTTTTCTGTGTGATGACTTTATCCTGGTTCTTGGCGTTTGTTTTAGCAATGTTGTTGTCACCATAAGGACATCATTTTAATGAGTATCAATTATCAGTAAGGAAAAGCCGATATGTTAGAAAATTTATCCAGCCGGATGTCCCAAATTACCAAAAAAATGCGTGGACAGGCTCGTCTAACCGATGAAAATATTCAAGAAATGTTGCGAGAGGTGCGTTTGGCGCTGTTAGAAGCTGACGTGGCTTTACCTGTCGTGAAAGATTTTGTTGCCAAGGTCAAAGAACGAGCTTTGGGGCAAGAAGTGATTGCTAACCTCAATCCTGGGCAAGCTTTGGTTGGTGTCGTACAAGAAACCTTGGTCGATATTATGGGAGGTGCTTTGCGTCCAAGTCAGACCCAGATATTAGGACTTAATATTGGTGGTCATCCACCTGCTATTGTGATGATGGCTGGTTTGCAAGGCTCAGGTAAGACGACAACAACTGGAAAACTAACTCGTTTACTCCGTGCACAAAAGAAAAAAGTTTTAACGGTGTCTTGTGATGTGTATCGACCTGCTGCGATTTTGCAGCTCAAATCGGTGACCGAGCAGTCAGGAGGCGATTGGTTTGAATCCAAAGGAGATGAAAAACCTCAGGATATAGCAACTCGAGCCCTCGATTGGGCACGTAAACACTATTATGATGTGCTTATTGTTGATACTGCAGGACGATTGGGGGTAGATGAAGTCCTGATGAATGAGATTAAAGAGCTCAATCAAATTCTTAAACCTCAAGAGATTCTATTTGTGATTGATGCGATGTTAGGCCAAGATGCTGTCAATACGGCTACCGCATTTTCAAACGCATTGCCTTTAACGGGAGTCGTATTGACTAAACTTGATGGCGATTCTCGTGGTGGCGCGGCATTATCAGTGCGACATGTGACAGGTCAACCGATTAAATTTGTTGGGCTTGGTGAAAAACTTGATCGATTAGAGATGTTTGACCCTGCTCGGATGGCTGATCGTATTTTGGGAATGGGTGATATTGTTGCGTTGGTGCAACAGGCTCAGGAGAGTGTTGACATCGCTGCTGCGCAAAAATTAGCCAATAAAGTTAGAAAAGGTGAGCAGTTTGATTTAGAAGATTTTTTGCAACAATTACAGCAAATGAAACAAATGGGGGGATTGTCTGGTTTAATCGATAAATTGCCCACTGAAAT